AGGTAGATACACTTCTTGGAGAGAATAGTCATGGGAGAAAGAAGGGCTGTTTATGCACAGGGAGACAGCTCGGGAGGCAGGAGTGCATGGAGGGATGGACACAGGGAAGAGGAACTATCGGGAGGAAGTGGGAGGGGAGCTTTTGCATTGGGGTAAATTGTGGTCAATGTCATGAGACAATGTGTATGTGAAGGGCAGTATGCAAAGCATATTTGCTCTGTAAACTTTCACCCAAAACACAATTTAGGGGGGGAAAAAAAAAAGGCAGGCAGTAGGAGCAGAAAAACCAAGAGAGTGGCATCCTGGCAGTCAAAGGGCAGAACAGTTGCAGGACAAAGTGATCCAACGTGTTAAAGGCTCCTCAGGGGCCAGGGCATGGTGAAAGACTGGGAAATGTCTCAGCTGGAAGGTCCTCACAGACATGACTTAGAGCAGTTTTGGTGAAATGGGACAGCATAGGGAGCGATGGGGAAGATGAGGACGCAGGGACTGGGTGGGTGGGTAGGCAACTCTTTAGATAAGGGTCGGGATCCCGCAGAGGCACTGCCTGGCAATCCAATTAAAAAATGGGCAGAAGACATGAATAGACACTTTGCCAAAGAGTATATTGAGGCAGCCAACAAACACATGAAGGAATGTTCATGAAAATTAGCTATTAGAGAGATGTAAATCAAAACAATGAGACACCATCGTGCCCCAGCACTAACAGCAAAGATAAAGACGACAGAAAATAACAAATGCTGGAGAGGAAGTGGAGAGTTTTGGAGTCTCATGCACTGCTGGTGGCACTGTAAAATGATACAATCACTGTGGAAAGCAGTATGGCGATTCCTTAAAAAGTTAGAATTGGAAATGTCATTTGGTCCAGTAATCCTATTACTTTTAGGTATATATCCTAAAGAATTCAGAGCCAGGACAAGAACAGATATATGCACGCCTATGTTCATCTCAGCACTATTTTTACAAGAGCAAAAAGATGTAAACAACCAAGGTGTACATCAACAGAAGAATGGATAGCCAAATTATGGTACATGCACACAATGGGATAATATTCAACCTTCAAGAATAATGTAGAATCTGCAAAACACTGCTTAATGTGGATGAATGTGGACGACATTATGCTGATTGAAATAAATCAATCACAGAAGGACAAATATTGTATTAGCTCATTATTGTAAAAAGTCAAGGAAAGTTTTACATATATGGAAGGAAACTATCTTTGTTGTTTACCAGGTGGGAGGGGAGCAGAGGCAATTTGCAAAAATTAATAATAATAATAATAAAATAAATTTAAAAAAGAAGTATGGATTAGCCTATGTAGTTGTTGTTGTTGTTGTTATGTGCTCAGGGGTCGGACTTGACTCATAGCAACCACTCCTTGGGTTTCTGAGGCAGTATCACTACGGAAGTAGATTGCCCAGCCTTCCTTCCGAGGAGTAGCTGGTGGGTTTAACTGCCAGCCTTCTGGTTAGCAGTCAAGTGCTTTAGGCACTATGCTACCAGCGTTCCTGGATTAGCCTATACTGGTATAAAAATATTAATAAATAAATAAAGACATCAGAAGGGAAAGTTATTTCTGGCAGAATTCTAATTAACAAACATAGAAGAAATCATTCTAAGAGAAAATACCATTTGGTAAACACCACAGTAATAACAACAACCATAAGGAACAATCATCAATGGCTACTAGAGTAGTAGGCCAAAGTATGATGAAAACCCTAATATTTGCACACTCTCAAAGTATTGTCCTACAAGAAAATTACCAATAATAAAGGGTAAAACAGTTAATTTTATAGTAGGTAAAAAGGGAAGAAAATACAATAAATATGTAAATAAAACACTCTTAAACGAAATACAAGATCAGTGTATTTTATTGTACACAAAATAACATCAATAAACACTAAAAAATATAGAAACTTATTTGCTCAAAATTATTCCCTGAAGCCTTATTTGTAATAGAAAAAGACTAAGAAAGGTAAATATTACCTTGTAGAAAGAACATAACAAACTCTGATGACAATCCCAGTTACCATGACCGTCCTTTCTCCCAAAGGCACAAAGTAGCTCTAATGACCCCTTCTGTAAGTTGAATTGGTTTCTTACTCACTGAAATTTTTTTTTTTTTCTAATTGCAGACATCTGGAAATTTGCTGTTTGACATTGTATCAATAAAAATGCAACTTACCACTTTTGACTAGAATAGTATCTCCAATGACTTTTTTTTACACTTTTTAAATTATTTCTCATACCTTACAACTTTTTATTTTCAAATAGTTTACAACTCACAAGAAGTTGCAAAAAGACTACAGAAAGTTTCCATGTTCCCTTTTCCATCTTCTGCAAATGATATTATGTCACATCACTGTAATGCAATGATCAAAACTGGGGAACAGATACTGTACCACATTCTTTTTTTTTAATGCATTTTATTGAAATATAACTTATGTACAGTGAAATACACAAAACTAAAGTGACATAGGTCAATGGAGTTTTTTTTTGCTGTGTTCCCTCCCCTAACCTCCCACCCCTGACAACCAACAAAGAAAGTTTCCCTCCATATATAAACCTTTCCTTGACCCTCCACAACAACGAACTAATACTATATTTGTCCTTCTATGATTGACTTATGTCACTCAGCATAATGTCCTCCACGTTCATCCATATTATGCAGTGTTTTGCAGACTCTACATTATTCTTTAGTGCTACATAGAATTCCAGTATGTGTATGTACCATAGTTTGGTCATCCACTCTTCCACTGATGGCACCTAGGTTGTTTCTATCTTTTTGCTACTGTAAATAGTGCTGTGATAGACATGAGCATGCATGTATCTCCTATCCCGGCTCTCACCTCTCTAGGATATATACCTAGTAATGGGATTGCTGGGTCAAATGCTATCTGCAATTCCAACTTTCTAAGGAATCGCCATATTGCTTTCCACAGTGGTTGTGTCACTTCACAGTCACACAAGCAGTGTATGACT